TATAGGGCCCAGTGGCTCAGCCTCCCCAATTACCTGAGGTGGACACTCTTGGTGCACCCCTTTGTGGGCTTTGTGCACAGTCTTGTTGTAGTTAAGCCTTGCTTGTTGTAGGTATCACTGGGAGGAGATGACCTCCAGGCCAATTGGCTGTGGGAATCAGCTGTGTCTACAGTGGGAGAACTACTGTGCTGGAGACACCCTTATGGGGCAGGACTTGCTTAGTGGGGCTTTGGTGCTCACTGAGTCTGCCCCCTCAGTGTGTTCCTTATGGATCTGAGGAGTTGTGATCTGGATGGTCCCACTTTGACCACTGAGTACACAGGCTCTTGGATCTCTAAGGAGGTGCTAATTTAGCCTCTGCCTGAGACTACCCAGCAGGAGTAACGGAGAGATCTACAGATTCCTCTTCTTTGGGGTTTGGAGGTGCCCAGATGAGGCCCAGCTGTGAGGCAATGCAAGCTGCTATGGGGCCTTGGGCCTTCTTTTGGAAGTTCTGGGTCTCCATGACCCAGCTGCAGTTTCTTAGGTAATTTTAGATTTAGTTGTTAAATAATTTTAGATTTGCAAAGGGCCAGGCCATTCATATGCAAAAGCCTCTGCCCACAACTTGGGTGGGGTGGGGTCTCAGGGAATCAATAGGGCAGAGCAAACAACTATGGCTGATCCTCAGCCCAGCCTTAAGAGACCCCAGGTCTTTATGTCCCAGTAATCGCTGCAAGCACCTCTGAGAGAAAGCCGCCCTTGAGTTCTGCCCGATGCCAGACAGTCCAGTTTCTACCTGTATGAGTCTGGGTCCCCAGAGGCTCACCCGGAACTGGCATTCAGAGCAGTCGGGAGCTTGTGACTCCCGACTTGTAAAAGAAAAATATATCTTCTTGATGAACTGACCTGTTTCAATACAAAATATCCTTCTTTGCCTCTTTTAAGAGTTTTTGCCTTAATGTCTATTTTGCCTAATGTTATTATGGCCAACTCAGCTCTCTTTTGGTTTCCTTTTGCATGAGATATTTTTCATTCTTTCACTTTCAACCTATTTATATATTTGGATCTCAAGTGAATATTATTGAGACAGCATATATGTGGACTTTTGGTGATACGTTCTGTTTTAATTTCAGAGTTTAATTA